TTGTCGTTTCTTCGAGCTATATGGTCGGCCCATTGCAACTTCAGCTTACTAATTAATCATTTAGGCTATGTCGGTTACTATAGTTCTAATGCGGATATCCTCATTTATTAGTTTATCACGCAGATAAATTCCGAACATAGCCCTCTCCATAGCTCCCTGAGCGACCTTGAGCTTCCTCATACGGCCAGCAGTGCAGGACCACGTCTCATATCCATAAGCCATCACTGGCAACAAGCACTGGTGGTCTAATCTTGTTTTTAAGTTTTGAGGTATACCTGACCGAACACGGCCCAGCCGAATTAAATCCGTCGAATGATCTTTCGTATAAGTCCGAAAAAAATGCTACATGCTACAAATTAAATTTATAATGAAACAAGGTAACAACTACCTAGCAGTAAAAAGCCACTCTACCAAAACTATAAAGATTTTAAATGTAGATTCATCAACATTGATATCCGTGGTCTTCATTTTATTGCTAATAATTTAATTTTTTATTTTTGAGTCTGCCCTTAAATTTACTGTGCCTGGGTAACTGGGGGCGAATACCAAAAGATATTAAGTCCGCCCTTTGTTACCCGCTTATTTAAGGTTAAAGCATAAATAAATAAATAGGTTAAACGCTTAAAAGTTAATGAATAATGGCAATTTCTTAATAAATACCCATTGGCCTATAATGAGGCAAAAGGCAAATATGAAATAATCCTGTAAATACTGCGTAATTCAAAATAATAGTATGTCTGTTTTTATAATAGCGGTGTCGCATTATAAACTCCGGTACTTCGTGTCACAAAATTTTCATATGCGCAATCATCTATTTTTCAAGAGCACGTATGGTTAAGATGTTCGACACGAGTTGGGAGCACGTGTAACTTGCTACAATAGCACTTTGCACGTGCCATGTGGCAAATCACGCCACGTGGCGGTACTCGGAATCGATTTCCGCATAGATGTGAGCATTGAGCATGCCAGTATTGTCAGTCAATTAACTTTCTTTTGTTCTTGTGTAAAATTAAGAATGGTTGACTATTTCTATACATTTTTCAAGTAGCATGTAATAATACATCATTCAATAGAGTTAAAAACCACGAAACATTAAAATATTATTTGAATGCAAAACCGGAAGCAGACACTTCACATTAAACAGTGCGAAATATCGTCAGAGTTTCAAGGAAGAACAGTATTAATACAAAAACTCAATTTCCGTTTTGGTATATTGCGCGGAGAAGAATTTGCATAAAATTTAATAGGGTCCGTGACCCATATAATTATGTTAAAGTTAATGTTACAAGAGGGTTCTAAAGTCCTAACAAAAAGGGTATATTTACAGTCAAAAATCAATAGAAATAATTACTTTCCATGTCGAATTCGCCATATCGCGGATTGTTAAGAAGTCAGCCGTTGAAAGGTTAGTAGGTCAGAACGTTGGCACTAGGTACAGCCAGACAAGTATTAACTGATAATACAACGATTTATATCGCTGCATTTACTTATCTGCGAAACCGGTTTTTTATATATTATCATTGACCTATTACTACATTAGATTTCGCAAACTACGCAGTTACACACGTGGTTAAAATAAAGCTAATTTTATCTCCAGTGTGATTTTTTTTTCGATATATATACCCGGCAGACAGACAACTGCCGCATTATACACGCACCGTCTGCGTGTCAAATTTTATCTATAAGTCACATTTTTTTAATAGTTGAAATGGCAACAATATCTGTGGTGATAACGAATAGCATGTTTCGTTCGCTCCGTCTATTTGGATCCACAATCATGATCCGCGGGTGGATGGATCCATGGATAATTTTTCTCCTTTTCGATTTACCGGTGGATTATTTTTTTATTTTATTTTTATTTCAAAATAATCGCACGTTTTGAGGCAATTCAAAATAATCTCCGGTTTTTTTTTCAAAAATATTTTAAAACGTGGGTGCAGTTTGTATGAAATTTTTTTTATATGCAATATGCATAGCCCAAACCATTGGACGTAGAAGTGTGAGATTAAGACAATAGCTTCTTTTTATTACGTAGGCATCCATTATGGAAGGACTCTGGGAAATTCAAGTGAGTGAAATGAGGTGCTATTACAGTTTATTGTTACTTGACGTGACTACACTTTACGTTTATTGTTATTTGACGGGACGATTTCAGATATCTTAGATAAAAATTCTTTCATGAATTTTTTGGCTTTAGAGGCCTCGAGTCTTATTTAAAATCTAAGATCATTATCGTTCCGAAATATGAGAAGGTTTCCATGTGATTGCTTGAGCTCTCCGTTCCGAGAGATCTCATAATAAGCGTGGGTCGGCGACTGTATGGACGACATCACAACTTGGACGCGGGTAACACCGCGGGGCGATAGCTAGTACCACCTTTAATATTAGCCTGTAACACAATTTTAGGATATCATGGGCTACAGAGCTTCAATATGATTCGGTTTTGTATAAATTACGTGAGAAACAATAAATATTATATATATTTATTATAATCTTAAAGTTAACACAGTTAGACTTAAGTACTCTCAACTATAAAAATATCCCATCGGAGTCTGATACACACGTGCACACAAATTTATCATCATATATCATTCACACACATCATATTTCGTGCACATAAAAAATGTTTAATACTTAACCGACTGCTTATATTATTTTACAACATGGACAAAGATGTAAATCGAAGTGGTGGATACTACACAGGTGGATCGAAGAGGGAAAAGGAATATCCATGGATCATGATGGTGGATTCAAGTGGACGGAGCAGTTTTGTTTACAGAATATTACTTGTGGTATATTTGTAGTATGTACTTATTAGTATTTTAAAAAAGGGTAGATTTGGTAAACCTTTCATACTGATAAGTATTTCATGTTTGTATTCAGTTTTATTTGGACATTCAATTTTAACAAACAATGATATATAGCTTAATGTAATATGTATATATAAAAAATTAATATTTGTTTGTTCGTATTTCATGCGTTGCCATACCGTTCATTAGATTGCGGTAAAACTTTGTCAACATATTGCTTGCACTTCCACGAAGGTTATAGGCGCAGCTGGATCCGCTAGGTGGCACTACTATAGAATCCTGATATTACCCGTGCGAAGCCGGAGCAAATCGTTAGTTACAAAAATAATTGTATTTGAGCCGTGTGGTGGTGCTATATAAATATCCTTCATCACATTGGATCCCATACATAAAGAGGGACTTAGGAAAATACGGAAAGATCTTGAGGTGTTCAATCACGGGCGGCGTAGACATTTTAATACGAATAAGCTTTGCTAAAGAAAAATTTTCTTAGGGGTAAAACTAATCTAGATAAACTCGGAATGTAACATTACCGATATAAACGTTAGAGCTGTTTCTGAGGAAACAATTTCATAAAAATACCAAAATAAATACAAGAGTTACTCACATATAGAATAGGATAAAAGATTTAAAATACTACGACTAACGACGGAAAGCATCGTTCAAGGTACTGCGTAGGTTGAATACTGCGATCACTCCACCTGAGTGGGGCAACGTCGAAGCAAACCTTACCTATTTTGGGAGATCTTCATAAATAGTTCTGAATAGATTATGGACTGATCAGATGAAGGAGGAAAAAGACTAGAAACGAATCTGACGTAGGCCGCTAATTAGAACTACGTTCAGTTTTTATATTATAATCGTAACGGCGAGAGAATAAAGACTTACCCACTTCATATTATACTGCTTTAATAATGACGTAAGACGTAATAATGTAATAATTCACTATTCCGTCTAGTTAAATATCAGTGGAATTTAAAGCCTCTTGGAATTGTGTGGATCGCGTTTTGACCTTGCTGTTTACGATTATAATTTATAACACACCCTATACACGGAAGATAGCGTTTGGCGCGCCTAATGAAGACTTCTATTTTTGTATAACAGACAAGAGATATATTTTGTTCAGGGTTTATAAAGAATTTTATTATGAGTACATGTGAGCAAACCGTAAGAACAGAGATTTCTAACAACGCTGCATTCAAGATCAAAGAGATCTGATAACTGCAAGTTACGTCTTTGTTGCGTGTGAAATTATGTTTAGTTTCATTTGCAGTAACTGTGAACTTCACGGTAGATACATACATGATATTTTTTGCTACCTTACCTAACGGCAGGTTGTCTATTACTTCCAGTGTTCCATGTTAATGTTACTGGGTAACAACAAAGATTTGTAGAGGAAACGGTAGATGGATAAAGATGATATACGCACCATTGTACATTTGTCATATAGGTGAAAATATTATATAATTATTAAAAATATTATGTAAGATGAAACAGTTCTATTGTAACGGAAAACATTAAAGAGAAAACGTTTCATGATATAAAACATGACATGATGTAAGACAATAAATGTAAAATATTTAGGTATTTTCCGTTATTTGACTTCAAAAAAAAATGTATGATATTTTAACTGAGTGATCGTTGTTTTATTAGTTTTCAAATTCACATAATAATAATAATAATAAAAATTTGCGATTACAATTTACAGATTGGAAAGTAAATATGTACTTCTTGTTTTTCTTGCACAAAATTAAAAGATCGTCGTAGCACGAAGGAACGAACGAACCGGGGAAGAACCACGCTCTCACAGAATATCAGCGTTAAATAGCAGCTTAACGCTGATGTTTCGTATGGTGAGTGTAGAGAACCGGAGATCCTTTTCACTGAAAAGGAGGCATTCCATCTTAGTCCTCACGGGTGGTAACGCATCTGCACTTTGACCGAGGATACATCATGTAGATGTCTAGTGCCCACAGCAACCAATTACCATCAGGTGGACTGTGTGCTCGTTTATCACCCATATCCTATAAAAATATGTTTTTTTTTTCGTAAAAATTGGAGATTTAATCCTATGATATAATTTCAGTCTTTAAACGACGATATTTTAGATGATTTAAAGAATAATTTTGCCCGAAATTATAATTTATTCGTACCCTCCTCTGTAAAACTGCAATAAAACAAGAATCATTTTCATGTTGTAAGTAACCAAATCAGTGCGTCCATATAAGGTTGGTAGATGTACCAATCCATGTTGATTGGAGAGATGCGACTCTATGATAAACATGAATTAAATATACGCATATAATATGTCGGTTGTGGATTTTTTTCAAATCAGGATATACTATTTTTTACAAAATACAGAGCGTAATTTAGGCGACGACGAGCGTATATTTTCTTTACTAATGTGTTGGCGATACGTTATCATAGCTGGATTGGGTGCAAGGGCACCGGGTTACGGACAACGCCGACTGACGCCTGCTAATAGATGTGTACTATTTCCTTGTAATTGTTATAACAAAATAAAGACGAACGGAAAGCGTTAGAATTGTGTGCTAATTTAATGTTCTGCTTACTTAAGTTTTTGAACAAATACTCGCGAACCAATAGGAAGATGGTTTAATTTGGTTCGACGATAATTTAAACTTCCGCAAAACGCGAATGTACGTGTGTACCAAGCTACCAAGGTTAGTCACTGACTAAATACATTTTAATTATGAACTAACCCGATATCCGTATTACTAAAACGAAATTACTCTGAATCGCTAAAATGTAAAACACCTTTTACAGGGACCATTATTTTACAGATATATTATTACAAGTTTAACGATAAAGCCTGAGTGGAAAGCGTATAGAGGGGTGGGACGTTCGGCGTTTATGTCAAACGTACTATTATTTATTCTGTGGTCAAACATATGCGCTTGTATTGCTGTGTGTGTGAGGGCGCCATCGTTCGAGTTGTAAGGAAAACGCACCGCCACGCCGCACGTCCCGCCAGGTCACATGCTCCATCGAACGCTCACCACTGAAGTATTTTGTAAGTTAATAATTAATGTTTTTGTTGTAAAAAGGACAATATTATTTACACACTATCACCACAGAATAAATAATAGTACTACGCTATCACGTACTTCTACCACGCAGTTTGGTATTTGAGTCATTTTAAATAGAATAATATGTATTTTTTTCAAAATAATATCTAAAAACATAATATTGTTATTCCAATTAAGCGCGCCTTGATAATACTGAAATATGCTTATTATACCAGAAGTCTGCGCAAAATGTATTGCCTAGCCTTTAGTCCGCGTAAGAAACCATGTGTAAAATAGAAACCAAATACAGGAAGCGATGTGATATCAATGACAGAAATACGCAAATAAATTAGCATTCGTATTAAGTAATTAAGTTAAATAGCTTTAAGCTATGTTGTGTATATTCTGCATATTTTAAGTATTTTTAATAATAGTAAATTGTATAATAGGTCGGGGAAACTTTCTTAGTATTTTATATACAAATACAAGATTTGTTTATTTAATTACATTTTAGTTATATATATATATATATAAAATATAAAAAAAAAAAAAAATACCATTTTGGTCGATAACTCGTTGCCATGGCGTCCTCTCTTGATGTTAACCTAACACTACCCAAAGAATTCTGAAGAGACCGAAACAGTGCAAGGTCAGGACCATAATATGGTGGATGCATTAACACTTCCCAACCAAGCTCTCTCAATTTTGGCTGAGTGGCCAAAGATGTGTTATCATGATGAAAGACCATTCCTTTTCTGTTGATCAATTCGGGCAATTTTTTTCTTAATTTATTGCTTGAGTTTCATTAGTTGTTGGCAGTTGATATTCGAATCGATGTTTTTGCCCGGCGGTAAAGCTCATAATAAACGATGCCCTTCCAATCCCACCATACACACAGCATCACCTTATTGCGTGTTAATCCGAGTTTCGCTACAGTCTGTGGAGCTTGACTACCCTTTGACCATGATCTTTTTCGCACGTTCTTGTCGTAGGTGATCCACTTTAACCACAAACTTTAACCACCGTGATCAATATTTTCAAAAATGTTTCGGTTTTACTACGTGTCAATGGTGAATCACAAATGAGTACATGAGTCATTAGGTTTCTTTCAGTGAGCTCGTTTGGTATCCAAATATCTACCTTTTTTGTATAGCCAGACTTTTTCAAATGGGTCAAAGTTGTTTAGTGGTCAATCCTCAATTCCTTGGCTATGTCGTAACTACTGATATGCCGATCTTACTCCACTTTTTCAAAAATTGCATCGACTTTATCCGTATGACCAGAGTGAGCTGCATCTTTGACATCAAAATTTCCGGACTGAAAACGCTTCAACCTACTTTGTGTTATTCTTACCAGTGTAAAATTATTATTTTTCCCTTTTTTGTAATTAAACTTCGGAATGTATCGAATTTCTTCGATAGATTCACTCATTTTGGCGGACAGAAAACAATTGATATATGGCGGGAAAGTGTTTTTTACTTTTTATTTTTCTTAATGTATGTACTATAATATGTATTGATATTAAAACCAGCCAGATATAAACGGTACAGCCAAAGAGATTTTTCTTCAATGTTATACAAACAAAATACTAATAAACTTTTCCCCGACTATTATAATTTAGAATTATAGAAGATAGGCATGAGTCGGATATATCTAAACGAATCTAAAATCCGATTTCAAACACAAATCGATTCGTATAGATTGCTCAAACTAGAAAATCCGATTTCAAAAATCGACCTAACTAGCTAAACTCTTACGATCTGTACAACCAAACCAATCCAAATCGAAAATAAAATCGACAATAATATCCAAATCTAAACGCAAACTGTTGCGTAGAAATCCAAATCCGTTTTTTCAGTGTCTCTCTCGATGACGTGAAGTTTAAGATTCAGATTTCGGTTTGTCGGCTATGGAATATCGAAATCTATTACACATTGAGATGACAAGATAAATCAGGCGTGCGAAATAAAAAAAAAAAAAAAAAAATTTAGGGAAAAGGAAAAAAATTTTTTTTTTATATGGGATCAATATTATCCTTACTACTTAGTACGTAAAGTTTTATATTGGCTTTGCGAGATTATGCGTTGCTGAATTTTTGGTTCAGTGTGCGATCAATATCATTCTTATTGTTAAGTCGTTGGATTTGCGAGATTGTGTGATAATTTATTTTTGTTTTTAGTTAAGTGTGCTTACTTAAAATAATTTTTTGTTTTCATGTTGTTATGTTTTAGACTTTAGACCTAAATTTAATCCTGGTGGCAACTGCTCGCATGCCGGTCAGTCGTAACAGTGTATTGTATTATATTATTTACTGATATTTATTGCCTTAATACCTTTTTGTTTAGTAAATATATGAAAAAAGTTTATAAAAATGTTTAAAAATCAGGAGTGAATTGTGTGTGAGTGTACGTTTTAAGTAAGTTATTGATCATAAAATAATTTATCCGCATTTGTCGGAAATATATCGCTCAAAATGCAATATCAATGCGACATCCGTTCCGTGCGAACGAATTTTTTTTCAAAGACGGCATTAATAATAAATGAAAAGAGGTGTCGTCTAAAGTCGTCAAGTGGAGCAAATTGCGTTTTTAAACGCAAATCTTAATCCAAACAGATTCTGAAATAAAAATTTAAAAAAATAAAAAAGCGAAAAGAAACCAAAAAAAAAATAATAAGAAATCATTGTAAATATACCGATTATTAAATGCGCCGGAAAAGTTCTGATTTCATACAAAATTTTTCTGCTAGTCCTAAGCCTAGATTAAAGCATGAAGGATAATCTCGCAAATCTGTTTCTGTATTAGTTAGATTTTCGTTTGTCGTTTTGTTAACTTATAAAACGAAATCTAAGAGTACGCAAACGAATTGGCGTGGCTAAGCGATACGGAAATCGGATTTTTAAAAACGGATTTTGAAATCGATTTTGAAATCTGAAATCGGATGAATATCGGTTTGCGTTCAAATCCAAAAACGCCCATGCCTAACGGAAGATCCTTAATATCACTTTGTCCAACAGGTCCTTTTTAATCTTTCGTACATCCGTCAGTTTTATCAACACAACTTTTTAAGCTTATATTGTATTATTACAAACCAAGAGGAAAGAATTATTTATTGGAATTAAAAACATAAAAAACGAATCAATAATAAAATAAAATGAGCTGGTAAAGTCTAATTATCTCTTATACAAAATAATAAAAATATGTAATCATTGTGCTGTGCTAGTTTCATAGGTAGCTAAAGGTCTCGTGACACGTAGTGTAGTTGACTTCAGGATGTGGAGTCTGATGTTAATTTTCGTGAAAATAATGCAAATATCTAACCAGTGCTATATATAATTCTTTATCCAAACCGATAAACACAATATTATCCGAGTTGTGTTTATTGAGGGTTATTCATCTCGAGGTTGCCGTTCGAGTTTAATGTGGATTTGGATTGTTGTTGGTTGACAAATGATAATAGTTTTATTTAATTTTATATTCACATGCACACCACACGCAATTTATTTAAATAAAATATAAAGTACATAGATGTTTGTACTTTTATCATCTTTATTATTATTAATCTATATATATTATATAAATAAAATTGAAGCGTCTCTCTGTAATATCGCAGTAACTGCCTTTGATTGAGCTGAGAGGGTTATTTTAAAATGAATAATAATTTTTAAAATTTTTGTCCGTCGGTCGGTGTCCCGGTCTGGACGAAGTTCGAAGTGGCTCGCTTCGGAACCGATTGTAATGAAACTTGACAAATGGACAAAGAGCAACGTTGGGAGTGATGTAGGTTATATTTTACCTATAAAACTTAAATATATTTTTAATTTATTTATTATTTTAAATTTACGAAATAATGCTTTGGTGGTTATTTTGATTTTTAAAGACGTTACATTAATAGATCCAGGCGAGACTGGGGACTATTTTATAAAAAATTTATTGACCCTGCAGGCCATCCCTGAAACTTCCCGCTAATTTCAAATGCAAAGCGCTCCAAATTTCACCAAATTATGTTGCGAAATCTCAAAGTTATGTTAAAAACAAACGTTTTTTGACCCAAATTCTTTCTCATTCGATATCTCACGAACGAATAAAACGATTTTTATTTTCCAAACGGCATTCGACGTCAAGTTTGAAGGTAAGAGCTGATTGGTTTTTGAAATGTGAAATTAGTAAGAATAGCTTCCTGGGATCTCAAAACGTCGAGATCTGATGAAAACTCGATTTTCGAAAATCGGGGTGAAACCAATAACATCCCTATTTTAAAGAAAATTTTCAATTTTCTTAGCAGGACGTTAAAAAAATGTAAACGTAGATATCATATGGTTTGTGTCCTGCTAACTTGCAACAGTCTTACCACACAAGTTACAATATCTAGTCTAAATCTAAAGCCGTATTTTGCTCGAACTTACCTCCATAACTACGTAGACATAAGCGGGACTGTCCATACAGTCGTGCATAGCTACGAGGTTCGTGTGGTGAAGCGCCGTCAGCTCACGCAAGATCTTGATCTCCTTGACGAGGATCTCCGATGCCTTCTGTATGCCTTTCTTTGTCACCACCTTCACTGCCACCGACTGTGATGGATTCTGTGAATACCGAACTATAATGATCAATGGTGTCCCATCAATTATTTTATAACTACCATTAAAATTTACGCGTGACTTTATGAGTCATTAGCGATGAAATCATAAACACGTACTAAGATGTACAATGGCTACACGGCTAGCCGCTAGTGATTGTACTTGTATTTATTCAAATTTATATATGTATAACTAGATTTTGTGTTTTTTTTTTAATTAAATCCGTCCTTAATTCTTATTGACAGCAATAGAATAGTCAAGTCTGCGTAAGTTTACAAATGCTGTTTTCTCAGGGTATTTTTTACGTAGACGTTATTGGGGTAAGCGAGGAAATGCGTAAATTGCAGATCTACAGATTTGACAACTAATGGAAATTTAAAATAATGGTTACACTACGGTTTAAAATGCGACACGCATCGGCACCATGATTAGAACAATTCAAGTTATTTCAAAAAGCAGTTTCCCTTTTATAATAATTTTAATTTAAATAAATTTAAATATGACCTTTATACTAGTAAAACATGTTTTATGTCAATAGATTTAAAATGCTACCTAAAATATTTAAATATAAATCTATACATAAAAATAAAATAGTAGTGTCTGGTTGTAATATTTTAATAACTGGCTTCTATTAAGCTTAGGGGGTTATTCGCATGCTATTATTTTGCCGTATATTTTGTCCGTCTGTCCGGGTTTATGTTAGGAATGGCTAAATCGATGGAGATGAATCTTTATGAACAGATAGAGAGAGCTATGCCAGGACGGATCTAGGGTATATTTTATCCGAAAAACTTGAAGGTTAAAATTTTTTTAAAATAAATGATATTTAATTTTATTATACATCTAAATAACGCCACATAAGTAAATCTTATACAGGTGGATCCGGGACTGGTCTCTACTTAAATTAACGATTAAATTGTATACTTTTATTATTTAAGATCCGTGGAATTGTGATGACATGTAATGATGATAATTAATTAAGGCAAGGGTATGTCATCAGGATTTTGTTGTGGACGTCGGTGCAGGAATGAGTCACTGTGACTATCACATATATATATATATATATATATATATATATATATATATATATACACACACACACATGCACGCAAACACGCACGAACGCATTCACGTACGCACGCACGCATACAGAGAGAGAGAGAGAGAGAGAGAGAGAGAAAGAGAGAGACATGTACTTAAACCAAGCGCGTGTACTCAAAAAGTTAAATACACAGTTAATAGATCGGTAAGCGATGGCTGATGATTTAGGAAAACAAAGTGAACAGATTAATACTATAGATAAATAGATAATCATATTCAAATTTAACAAGTGATAAAAAGGAAACAAAGGAATAATCTACGAACGTACCCAGCACAGGTCTTATAGGTCGGTTGTTGAACTCACAGCCAACATAAGAGTTAATTAACCGATTCAAGATTTATGACCTAGTAAATGTAAGAAAAGGGGGCCCGGGGGGGGGGGGGAACCCCTTTACCCTGAAAAAAACCCCAAGGAAAGCCCAACCCCCACCCAACCAAACCCCGGGGGGCGCAACACACTTTTTCAAAAAAAACCCAAAAAAAAAAAAAAAAAGATCATTTAAAAAATTAGACATAGAATATAGGTGCATTGCAACCCTTAAGGGGTAATACGGAATACATCATTACTATAATGAGTCACGTCAACTACCCTACGAAACTGCTTAAAATATTCCATTCTTTCAAAGAAGTTCTAAAAAGGGCACGCCGACTCAGAATCAAAAATCTATTTGCAGCAACATACTACCCATCAATTTTTTGTATCTTTTAATTTAGTTAGTTTAGTTACTTGATCAAATCAGCAATTATTTTAATTCACAATACTCGTGATGCCAATATTCACTACACTGAGAGTACAGCGCCAATATACATTTAAACACTGCGAGCGGGCACTGTCTGAAATGTTTCTCATCACCAGACTGCGGGATTTGGGTTTGGCATTTTCGTTTAAATAAATAACGTTATTATTCGGTCGCTATAACTCGTTCGTTGATTAACAGGGCGTAGCTCGTGCAGGCGTGGTAAGTATTTGGAAAAGTTATTATTGAGTGTTGAAATGTGAGGGATTGGCAACATAGACAAAGACCGGATGATAAGGAATTAGGTTTTTTTTACTGGTTATGTATAGTCAGCTAGTTATTACAGGACGCGGCAATTCTATATAGTGACACTTGAATAGAAAACTACTTTTATAGACACTAAACACAGTTACTAGGTACACTAAATTATAACTCGCATGTTTACATAATCCATAGAAGTGGGTACAAATATAATATTATGTGTGTTTATGAAATGTATGTAGTGCGTAATAAACCTAATAATTTGAACTAGATATCAGAAAAAGTACCAAGAAATTCACTAACAATCATTTAAATTATTGCATATGACACGTAATAAAAAGGCTAATACTAAGACCAAAGAGAAAAGTGGTCTCTGTTCGTTAGGTGCGATAGATTTACATAGAAATAATTTAACTACTTCGAAGTCCAGGAGGAGTCTAAAGTAGTCCTACTGATGATATAAATGCCGACCGATCTTTTTTTTTTCAATTACAAGGCATTATTGTTTTCAAACGGGACGGTCTCATCGGTTTTTATAGATCAAAATATCCGAATTTGCGATTTTTCAAACTTTTAAAAATTCATTACTCCGAAAATATATACTTTATCGTAAAATGACATCGGATCTTTTTATTTGTATTTCGTCTAAAATTATCCATGACTTTATATTTAAACAAATTATTAAAACAGAAGATATATAGCCTTTACTTACGTATATCACAAGCAATAAAGCAGAAAATATGCAGCAATATTGATGATATTTAATATTTAATTATTCGCTAATTGTATTATAATATGTATTTAATCTGTAAAAAAAAGCGTTTTCAATAAGCACGTAGTAAATACTTAAATTTTGCCATTTAAATATAGATTTTATATCTTACATTTACATATAAGCTTTACAATAATAAAAAAAGATTTTGGATTGAAATTGATTAATTCATTTAATAAATATATTTTTTATTTAGAAATTTAGGTTTAGTTTACTATTTATTTTTTGTAATATAAAAAATTAAAATGCACTTAGTCACAATTTGTTTTACGTGAGTACTTAACTTAAGTTTCAATATGAAAACAATTAGGTACCTATTCTAGGCAAAAGTTCTGAGAAACCAATTATAGTAGAAAAAGTACACAGTAATAATGCTTGTTTTTGTGAGCATTTAAATTGTAAAGATTACGCTTTATACTTGCATGTATAGATCGACATGAGATCAAGTTGAATTGTTTGGAAATCTTTAATGTTCGCTAGATGTTTTACTTAACCTGATCTAAAATTTTTACACCTTAAATATTTTGAATCATATTTTAATTTTATTAAAAGGTTTTTTATAATCATCATTGTTCTATAAATCGAGAGAAAGCAGATCTTCTTAGGCGGGTCTTTATATTGCTCGGCCTAAACTATTTAAATGATATTTAAAAAAACATAGGAAATAGGATGGGAATAAGAATTTCTCCGTTCCTTTGCCTCTTTTCACGTTTCTTAACAATAAAAAAACAATTAGATGATTTCGTAACATTACTCGATTTAAACTTAATTACAGCCTCTATACGACATTCTGTAACCAACCTCAAACCCACGACTCTGGTGAAAAAGACCTTCCGACTTCGATTATCTTTTTGGATCTCTACTTCGCCGCTCATAAGCGGATGGAACCCGTTCTTATACATACGTGTAAGTTTCTTGTCGATGAAACATAATAAATGTACGTTAAAAAGGGCAACCAATGAAATGAGATTTTAAACGAGATCTCGGCCTGTTTTCTAATGCTGAGCATATTACATATTATGTACGTTGCAATGCTAAATTAAAGCATGGCTTGTTACAAGCGTGGGCTTTAAATTTGCTTAAAACCGTAAGGATACTACCAAATAAAATCAAAACTAAAATCATTCTTTTCGATTCAGTTACTAGATCGTAAACATAGAACATACAATAGAATGGCTGTCAACCTTATTTTGTACGAAGGTCGGCGTCGCCGGGAGCTCACATAAAGCAATTATATCGTATTTATCACTACTACACACCCGATTCGCTGTGTTGACAGACTGAGTAAATTTAAACATTTTAGACTTTTGATTAATGTTCAAGATCATCATTAAAAAATGTTTAAATTTTATTAAATATTTACTTGTAAATAGTGTGCAATTTGGCATTTTCTAAATAATTTGCATGCGATATTTGGAAAAGATTGTAACGTCAAAACACATCTTGTGTTGACAGTTATACGTGTGAATTGACGTGTTAGTGACATGTTAGTGGTTACAAGGGCTCCGCCCACTCCCTTGTTCTATTATGTATGTATTATAGTATTCTATGATGGTAAACATCCTTTTACGTGTGAGAGAGCCAATGTAATGACGTACATTCTTCCATCCATTTTGGATAGATTTTGATTGATACATTTTGATATGACAGATATTGATAATATTGTCGCAGCTACTCTGTAATGTCTCTACTTTTTCATGTTATTTTTTTCTTAAATCGCGTATATAAATAAACGCTTCAATGAATATGAACATATATTAATCTATCATTGATTAAAAAGGAAGTGCCTTTAATAAATTACGAGATAAGAAATCAAAACAAATACGTAAACAGAATATCAATGTTATCGGGAAAAGCAAGGATTTGTTTTCGAAACGTACGGTAAAAGCGACAAACAATCGGTTTGTTGACCCAACCAAATGCGTACAACAATAACATTCGATGGTTGAAGATCAAAACAAGCATACAAAAGTACCAAAATACATTTCATTAAAGTAAAACAGTTGGTGGGAAAATATTGCTTTACAATTTATTATGTATAGAATGACCCATGTCGGCGTTAGAGTATATAATATTGGTTCCTTGCATACGAAATTAGCGTTTTGTCGTACTGACCACTTTGATCTGAAATATCT